AGGGGCCACATCTAGGTGGCTCATGTTTAGCCATGGGCCACATCTAGGTGGTTCATGTTTAGCCATGGGCCACATCTAGGTGGCTCATGTTTAGCCATGGGCCACATCTAGGTGGTTCATGTTTAGCCATGGGCCACATCTAGGTGGCTCATGTTTAGCCATGGGCCACATCTAGGTGGCTCATGTTTAGCCATGGGCAACATCTAGGTGGCTCATGTTTTGGTCAACTATGTGCCATATCTTGGGAAGCAAAGCATGTTCAAATGAAATTATATTCAATTATATTCTTAAGTTAGGGGAGGCAATCGCTAAAATTTGCAATAGTCATCCTATATTTGATTACCGTTCTTAGTAGTTACTTAGTGTTTTTTAACCACAGGGACCTTGGTCTAGTAGGCTTTCCCTTATTAAGAGGCTTAGGGCAGGGGCGGATTAAGCTTGAGCGGGGCCCCCTGCTGATTTTTTTTGGGTCCCCCATACGTATGAATATATATATATATATATATATATATATATATATATATATATATATATATATATATATATATATATATATATATATATATATATATATATATATATATATATATATATATATATTTGAATTGCACTTTTATTTACAATTAATTTTAAAATTGTAGTAATAAATCTTGGTTTTCGGAGTTCAGTTTCTACATTTCGAGGTTTCAACTGGAAACTCTTTTCGGTGGTGACAGCAAGAATGATAGCTTTATTTAGAGAATTAACGAGAAACATAACATGTTTAAAGGATAGGGAGTAGATACAAAATGTTAACAATTAAAAAAATAATCCTAGTGAAAATTCTCATGTATACTAAGATGGGAAATAAAATATTCACTGATTTTGGAAGAGAGTTAAAATACATTTAGTTTTGCATCATGCAGCTATCTATGTTTCTCTTATGGATCATAGGCTTAATGTAAACAATGTCTGAGTGGGGGTGATGACAGCTGGTATTTATACTAAAGTTTGTGCAATTGTTTATATTTTAAAAACAAAATGAAAAAAAATGTGATTTATGCATTAAAACATTGTTATTTAGAGTTAAAACTAAGAATTACGTTGTAAAGTGAAATTTATCATAGCTTGTAAGTGAATATTTGGGGGCCCTTAAAAATCGGGGGCCCCTGACTGCAATTCTCTCAGCCCCCCCCCCCCCCCCCTTAATCTACTACTGACTAAGCGTGATCAACGATACTAAGACAAAAAAAGGTGTAGTGTTTTTTTAAACTGATAATGCAATTAAGAAAGTTCCCTTAAAATAATAACCATAAGGCCATTTTCGTTGACCCACATGTTTCTGTTCCCCCCCCCCCTCCCCCACCCAAAGAAAAGAGCGATTGTTACCTTGGGTTTCGGCCATATTACATCCCAGAGGGGGAGCTGTGTGGATCAGAGGCGGCTCCGCCACAGTGTTTGGCTCGGCTTACGTGAGCAGGGGAGAGTGTCGTGGGGCTCTAATGAGACGGTATAAGGCAATCAGGGGACGGGACTTTGTCTCTCCACCCCACGCGTAAGGCAATCAGGGGCCGGGACTTTGTCTCTCCACCCCACGGAACATCTGCACACCGGGGAGAAACTTGAGAACAACTGGCGGGCTCGGGTTTTAAATCAATGGCGTATTGTGGGGGTCCCGCAGGTGGGGACGGGGGGTTCGTTTGTACAACACACACGGTGAGGTGTGTACAACACACGGTGAGGTGTGTACAACACACATGGTGAGGTGTGTACAACATACACGGTGAGGTGTGTCCAACACACACGGTGAGGTGTGTACAACACACACGGTGAGGTGTGTACAACATACACGGTGAGGTGTGTCCAACACACACGGTGAGGTGTGTACAACACACACGGTGAGGTGTGTACACACGGTGAGGTGTGTACAACACACAAGGTGAGGTGTGTACACAAGGTGAGGTGTGTACACACGGTGAGGTGTGTACAACATACACGGTGAGGTGTGTACAACATACACGGTGAGGTGTGTACACACGGTGAGGTGTGTACACACGGTGAGGTGTGTACAACATACATGGTGAGGTGTGTACAACACACACGGTGAGGTGTGTACACACGGTGAGGTGTGTACACACGGTGAGGTGTGTACAACATACATGGTGAGGTGTGTACACACGGTGAGGTGTGTACACAAGGTGAGGTGTGTACACAAGGTGAGGTGTGTACACACGGTGAGGTGTGTACAACACACAAGGTGAGGTGTGTACACAAGGTGAGGTGTGTACACACGGTGAGGTGTGTACAACATACACGGTGAGGTGTGTACAACACACACGGTGAGGTGTGTACACACGGTGAGGTGTGTACAACACACACGGTGAGGTGTGTACAACTCACACGGTGAGGTGTGTACAACATACACGGTGAGGTGTGTACACACGGTGAGGTGTGTACAACATACATGGTGAGGTATTTTAACCGTTTTAATAAAAGCAGTTTTGTTAACCTGACTGTAAATAAACATCGTTACTACTAAATGGGGGGGGGGTGACACGAACTACAAAATCTACGCAGGAAAAAAAAATTTTGTTGCATATTTTCAAAAACTGATACGTCAATAAACGACCGGGTGGGTGACAGTGCATCTAATAATGTTCTATGAAAACTTTGCTTTTTCTACTTCAGTTAGTACGTGGATTGGTATAATGTGCACTAAAATTGACAAAATAGGGGGAGGGTTGACATCAATCGCAACTTTCACTGAAATGTTAAATGGATGTAGGAAAAAAACTATATAAAATACATATACATACTTATACAGATAGATAGGCCCTACATATGTATGTGGCAATGTGTAGGCTTACACGGAAACAGACACACACACACAGACACATCAGAGTTTCTTCCAGGCATCTCTTCTTTACCGCCCCCCCCCGAACGAAATGAAATTTATATAATTTATATAGAAAATATATACTTGTAACAGTGTCCGCCCCCCCCCCCCCCCCCGAAGAAAGTTTACCGCCCCCCCGAAGATTTCAAGTGCCCCCCCCCCCCCCCCGGAGAAAAAAGTCTGGAAGAAACACTGTGACACATACACACACACACTCAAACACAATAGGAAGTGGGACATTCGTACCGGCTAGCTATTTGTACCGAATCGTACCACCCTCATTTCGCTTTAGCTGACCGATAGAAAATTACAGAAACACGATGAATTCATTCTGTGTGATGCAATCTTGTACTGACCAAAAAATGGCGGGATCGATCGCACAAAAGACACCTTAAGTCCGTGGTTGTCAAATAGAGCAAACGACATCCCTGCTACTGTTTTAGTCAAAAAGTCATTAAACGTCATCCTTGCTACTGTTTTACGCGCCATGAAGAATTTTAAAAAAGTTATTTAATGTTTAATTTTTAGAATAAATGTGTTACTGTTAGGTTGCATATTACCTATAGCACAAAGTAAATTATGTATACACTTTAGTATGGATTGGACTCAGGTTAGGGTAATTAATTAGTACGTTTTGTTTATTTTTTTGTCTGAATTATTCTGTCAACCCTTTCAATATTTTTACACCTTGAAATCATGATTTGTTTGTTTGGTATTCAATCAAGTGTTAAAATAAAATATATATATATATATATATATATATATATATATATATACATATATATATATATATATATATATATATATATATATATATATATATATATATATATATATATATATGTATATATGTATATATGTATATGTATATTCTTTTGGGGAGATGAGGCAGACAATATGATGTTGCACCGGCTGACCCACGACCTAGTGACGCCACTATTTATTACATCATTTTTCTTTAATGACATAACACATTTGATTGGAACATAGATTAAATAAAAGTGTCATTTAAAGAAATCGTTAAGGTGAAATGAGACATTCAAAGACATCGGGTATGTGACTGTCTTTCTATGACGTCTGTGTTGATCGCAGAAAAATGTCTTCGAATACAGCCCGAAACTAGCCCCCTCCACACACACACACTCATCAAACCATTCACGAATGTAAAACTTAAACTATCAAAATTACTGATGGGTTAAATTGATCATTCCAACATCTAATTTACTAATATTTTCCCCCAAACATAATGTCATGATTTACCTAAGGGCGATAACACAAACATTTTTAGTTACCAATAGTTTTGTAAGAGTTTTAATCCTTTTATTTTTTCTTTGAAAAAGGTAATGGTATTAGAATCTACAACAGTTCATGCAATATTGTATTTTAAAAAACTCATCAATGTATAAATCTACTTACATTGTGTCTTGATAATCAAAACTTATAGAAATCGTAATTAATTTTACCTCAATTAAACGATTCACAATATTATTATACTAACGCGGAAGTAGGAAGAGCAGATAGGGACTTGCGTCGTCTGCTTTATTTACAGACCTACCATATTGGCTAAATATGGATCAAATGTAGTTTTTCTCTTATGATGCCCTACTTGCCATAGATACAATAAATTAACACTGAATCCAACCGATTATAGATTTCGGATTTTAGAGGTAGAACATTCTGTTAATGTTGACAAAAACGCCTCTAAAAATGTTATTAAGCCTAAATCAGATAAGAAATTTTTTTTTTAAATATTTTATTGAAATGGATTTATTACATTAATTTTAATTGAATGTAAAATACTGGAGTAGTAAAAAAAACGGATGGTTTTTTTCTGCTTAGATTTAAATTAGAACATTATATTGGTTCATAATTATTTGATCAACTTTTGTGACTCTTGTAATGTAAAGAATGTAATGATCCTCATTCCGCTCTATTAATATTAATCTAAATATAATTTTTAATGTGATTGATGATATAAAGAAATAAATAATGTATACGTAAAAAAAACGTGTATACGTTTTTACTTCATTCATATTAATGTTTTTACAACATATATATTGCAAGGATATGACCAAGGCTTATTTTAACCAAATTTCTTTTATTTGGTAGACATCACTGTGTTTTGATCTGGCCTAGATCTTCCAAATCTGCTAAGGCCTAACCCAGGAAAACAATCTGCCAAGTGATTTACTTTGCTGTTAGATTTTCTAGATATCTAGCTCTACCCGAATTGTGCCTTTAATTTTAGTTTATAGATCTATTACAGATTCTAGATTTCTTGACATCTTTCGGTGAGTCATTTCTTTTTTTCCCTTACATTCATAGTGTAATAGTGTGAAGTACTGTGAACTGTTTAGGCCTAGAAATCTAGATCTAGTCTAGATCTACTAAATCTAGATCTAGATCTAAATTTAATTTAATTTAGTTAAATTTAGATCTAGAAATCTAGATTTAGATCTAATTCTAAAGCTAGATCTAATCTTATATCTAGATTCTAGAATCTAGATCTAGTATTAGTATTCTAGGATCTAGATCTAGGATTCTAGGTTGATGATTTTTATTTGATGCATTACCTACTTTTTAAAATGCTTTCTGATTCTCAGATCAGACCTCTACACTAGATCTACCTAATCTAGAGTCTAGATCTAGTCTAGCTAAATCTAGTATGTCTAGAATAGATCTAGTGTAGATATTAACTCCTAGATTCTAGCTAGATCTAGACTAGATTTATTGGTAATCTATCGTTTTAGGTACGTAAAATAGCCCGCAGCTAGACTAGTAATGTACGAAAAATTTACCTCATTCTCAAGGCTTTAATAGAAGTATATTGAATAATATTGTGATAGATCTATATTTGTGTCAAATAAATGATTAATAAACCGAAATCAGTGGCTAAATATATCAATATAAGGGTGTTGGGAGATTGCGAGACGCGAAAAGTGAAATGGCGAGACGGGAAAATGCGAGAAGGTCGCGAAAACGGTCTGTCACGTGACTTTTTGTCTCGCATATTACCGCAACCCGATATTATAGCTGGATGGTGTTAAAATGCAAAGATTTCTGCGGAAAATTTACCGCACCCAATTAACAGTGGTATTTGGTGCAGACTTCAAAGACGTTTCGTTTACATTGTTAAAACTTCCGATTTTTCCATCGCTAGACATGCTGATGATTTATCAACTCCCCCCACCTTTTGTGTCGACTTAGAATACCACCTTGTACGAAACCGCCCGAAATACCGCCGACGATAGATCAACTTCTTTCTTTTGTATGGAACGCCGAGGCTGCCTGATTTACCGTCTTTGAAGATCAACGTGCCCCAATTCGCTGCCGCCGCAATCATATTTTGTATTGTTGCATAGAAATTTTGTATAAAAGCCGCCGCCAGTGTTGTGTGTGGGATGAACGGGGAGGTCAACTGTGATGAGAATGTGACGTGTGGATTGGAAAAAGAAAATGTATAAATGGAAGTCTAATGAACTGGGTTAGATGTACTATGTGTGAAAGATGGTGTCACGGGGTGTGTTTGAGTATTGCTCAAGAAGAAGATTTTGTTTGTAAATTTTGTTTGTAATTAAAATTACTTAATAAAAAATAAATTACACTTTTTAGAATTGTTTATACTTTTACACTTTTTGCAAGTTCAACAATCCATGAATACATGTTGCAGAATATCTCTCCTGCTGACAAGATTATACCAATTCACAATGACATGAGCGGGCTAGATTTTTAAAATTAATGTCGACTGAGGCGGGATTTTCCTCTCGCTAACGAGAGCGGGTGATGACAGTAGCAAAGCAACGATGTTAGGATTTTTTAATAGATAGATCTATATCTAGATCTATCTATCTTCTTAGTATCTATCTATATATATAATGAAATCTAGATAAAAAATAACAACATACAACACTCGTGTTAAAGGGTATGGCTACATGCTTGTTTATTTTAAAACAAAAAAATAATAATTTAAATAAATAAAGATGAAAAAAGCATGAAAAAAACTTTTTTTCGCAAAAGGTGTCTCGCTATTTACCCATGATTCCGCAGGTATGTCTCGCATTTTCCCGCCTTGCCATTTCGCTTTTCGCGTCTCACACTTTCCCAACACCCTCAATATAATATAGGCCAGAAATTAACTTTAAACGGCAGTGTTTGCAAGCAAGATTTGCTATATAAACAGCAGCCATTTGTAAAATAGAGATGATCTATTTCACTTAGATCTATTTATTAACTAGGCCTAGGAGAAGCTAGCTTAGAGGGTAATTTCTGTCAAGTTCAAGCCAGCCACCTATGTCCCTGTGGGACAATGAGAAATTCTAACCACTGTTTTTATTACAACCTAACTGATATGTAGCTGATATACTGAACTAGTTTCAATACTCATATCACTGAATGTAGTGAACTAAAGTTGTTTAATCCTTGGAATCACAAGTAAAATCAAGCCCTTGACCTAACTAACATAATAATTTGTTTCTGTTACGTTCTACCATCCATACCCACCCATGTAAATATGAAGTCCTATACTCATAAGTCCTGTCATATTTCGTACCAAAAATTAATATCTGAGCCATTACTGATCAACCTAACACCAGTCAGCATCAGATCAAACACAAATGCATTTTTTAAAATTAAAAATAAAACTTATTGAGCAAACCTTTATAAAATAACCTTTTAAATGCAATAAAACTAAACTTGCTTTCTTTATTCAAGGCAATGGTTGCTCTTAAAAAATCTCCTACACATTTATTTTTTTGTGAATTTTAAAGCTTATTATTATAAAGATTTTTATGTCTGTTTTATTTTCTACTGTTTTAGTAATAACTGATTACTAGGCAGTCAATATTGAAGATTTTAAAGCAATAAGTACCTAACTATTTTTTCATTGTGTTGATTCTTAAGTCAACACCCATATAAATATTTGCCTATGAGCAACATGTCTTAAGACTATGATGTACCCTTCATTAATGTCCATGGTTAGATATCCTGTGTATCAGGGAGTAACAGATCACCAGCACCACATGGAAGATGAAGAGATCGCGTCCATAATCTTCTATCTCCACCTTTCTTATTCAATATAGTAATCTTTAATCAAATTTCTAATAGCAAATTAATATCTAATGAATTTAAAACTTGGATATTATTCTTTGCATGTGATAAGAGACTAATGTATGTGGAAAGTTTGGATGAAATCACAACATTAGATTGGAAGTCAGTCAAAATTGAGTAACAAGATTTGTTTTATTTAAACCCACAGTCAACTTAAAAAGTAATATTAAGTGTACATTTTTGCTGTTTCTTTTCATTTTGGTTGCTTATTACTATTTCAGTATTCACAATGACGGTTTATCAAATTTTATATTTGCAAGTGGGTTGGTGAACAACACTAGTTATTAAAACAGTAATTCTAACTCAAACAACAGCATTCAGAGTATTGTGGGGTTATCTGTAAATGACGTCATTTTTTGGACGATTTTTACCTCTTCCCCCCCCCCTTCCGTCACACATCGTCTCAAAAAGCCAGACCACCACCGCCGCTAAAATGACGTCACACCTCAGCCTACAACTCCCTCCCCCCTCAAAATAGCAGTTGAATTTTTATTAAAATACGATATTTTTCTCCAAAATCGTGTCTTAACTCTCTCAACATAGAGTACTTTAATCGATTCCTATTACAATTTATTAAAACAGTTTTCTAAAACGCGAAATAACGGCTAAAGTTTTTTGACATTGCTTTTTTATAATGCAAAAGTGTGACATCACACCATCTGAACACCCCTCCCCCTCATCACATACAATCACAAAATTACGGACGACCCCCCCCCCCCCAATACGAGTGTGACGTCATTTATGTATGACCCCAGAGCTTTTTTTTAATGTTCTTATGAGAATTGGTAGATATTGTGCTCTTTCAGTCTAATAGGTTTGGCTAAATTAAGCAGATTTTGTCCACTCTAAAGGTTTGGCTAGATTATGCAGATTTTGTCCACTCTAAAGGTTTGACCAGATTGGGCAGATTTTGTGTCTCCTAACTGGGTTGACATGAATTGGACTAACTGCTTTTGTAAATGTGTTGGTTGATATTTTAAATTCTTGACTAGAGTTTTAGAACTGGTATTATTGGCCATGTGTGTCACTTGTTTCAAGTAGCTTGTAGCTCTACTTTAAGTTCGCCGTTATATAGCTTGATTTAAAGTACAAGGAACTAACTGTTCAGTGTGGATCATTAGATAAAGAACATGGGTGTTTTGAAATCCAAGATGATTCACTACACTGTTGTGTATGACCCATTTCTTTAACGCCAACACACAGCCCACGGTGAAGCGAGCCGAGTCACCCATGATCTGGTAGTAGGGTTTTGTGACGTGTGATCAGCGGTTCTAAACTTGTACCACTGATGCTCTATTTGGCATGACGTCGCTAGTCATTCAGTTAACTTGGGCCGCGTGTCTCGGCATGATGTTTTAGCGCCTCTTGTCTGGTTTAGCGGCTACCCTGAGGACTTAACTCTGGAACAGTGTCGTAGGATGTGAGGGTCAGACCGTGTCGTCCTTCACATCCAGCTGTCAGCTTCACCAGAGGGAGGTTCCCATGTTTCAAGCCTTTACCCACACCCGCTATATGATAGACGAGACAAACGCTCACTGCAACAGCTGTTCGAATGTTATCTTTGAAAACAATACAAGCAAAAGGTGGGTGAGGGGTGGGGCAGTTGTACATGACATACACCATGAAGGGTGGGGCAGTTGTACATTACATACATGATTGGGGCGGGGCAGCAGTTGAAACCTACGTAATGAGCTGTTCAATTAGCCAATCCTGCTATGCTAAGTATCATCAAGAACACGTTTCTCAGTCGCGGCAACACTACATGTTGTTTTTTAAAATATCCTTTTATGCTTGTATAGACGGACTTGTAATGTTTTTAAACTTATAAGACCACAATAAGGACAACTAATGAAAGAAATAGCACTTGAGCCGTCATTAGGACCACGAACTGTAGCTACCGGTACAGTTTTCTGATTGTCGAGTGTCCTGTAAGATGGTGTTTATCTCTATACCGAGGTGGCAAGTGGCCTGTGTGACCCTTCTCACTGACAGGCTGGTACACAACACATGTGGGCTAGTAGCTGCACCAGCTCAACTTTTTAAGTTATCCTCAACACGGAGAAATGCCTACTGCAGGCATGTTTAAATAGCTCAGTCGTAATGTCGCTATAACGTTGTGGCTACAGGGTTGTCTATACGTTTATATGAGCGCCATCTAACTGCGTCAAGCGTGACGTTGTGCAATGTATTTGTCACAGACACCTGTAAACTTAGGACCACATCGTCACAGAATGGGCTCTCGAAATACTCGGGTTTCATTTGTACTTTTTTCTGTGAAAGGTCACGTTAACCCAGCCGTGGTGTCATTGGGAAACTTTGCTGACTTGCAACATTTGGCCTTGACACTAGGCTAAATGTAACAGAACAAACGGAGCGTCGGTCTCTGGAAGTTGATTGTTCTGTTGGCTCACGTTCAGTCTACCTGCCGTACAAACTCTGCTCGTCAGCATTTTTTCCTCTCACCCAGGCATGGCCTCTCTACACCTGTGATCATCCACGCCCCAGCTATCATTAACCCGAGATATCACGTAGACCCCCCCTCTTCCCCTCAACCCCTCCACCAGCAGACCCCCTTGGTGCACCACCACTGTACTGTACCTTCATTTTTTTTATCTGCTAAGGCTGTCAGAAGAAACATCTAACAGGGTAGCAGAAATAAAATCTGATTAAGTCTGAATGTTCATATCTTATATTTGAACTTTTCCCAAATGAACTATTGAATTGTATTTGGTGTGTTTATTATTAGAACACATCTGATAAAACTGTGTAGAAAAAGGCTGTTACATGAATGTGTGTGGTAAGACAGGGAAGACGTGAAAACCTAGGTTGGGCAATGTAGTTAGCCATTTCACAATACCATGGTGAGAAATGACTTCCCATAGCAGGACAAACAAAGGCAGTGATTCACCTCCAACAAATGGTGTGGGGGGGGGGGGGTATTACCTAATCAGTTAGTCAAGTGGTTATACCCAGCTTGTGGGGACTTCATTAGCTTTAGCTGGCCTTGTTTTACTTGTCTGTTGTTCAGGTGAATATGGGGGGGGGGGGGGAGTTATTACCTAATCAGTTAGTCAAGTGGTTATACCCAGCTTGTGGGGACTTCATCAGCTTTAGCTAGCCTTGTTTTACTTGTCTGTTGTTCAGGTGAATAATAAAACTGTTTCAACTGCAGCTAGGCCAAGGACAGGTGTCTTGCCCCAAGGGGTTTACATCACTGACACACACATAACCCATGTACAGGGAAACATTGTTTCTCAAAAAAACTCAGATTCTTTAATTGCAGTCTAGTATTGGTAAATCAAGTGTTGTTTGTATTTTCTGGGGTGTATGTCACTGATGTGTTGTTTGTATTTGCTGGGGCATATGTCATTGATGTGCTGTTTGTATTTGCTGGGGTGTATGTCACTGATGTGTTGTTTGTATTTGCTGGGGCATATGTCATTGATGTGCTGTTTGTATTTGCTGGGGCGTATGTCATTGATGTGTTGTTTGTATTTGCTGGGGCATATGTCATTGATGTATTGTTTGTATTTGCTGGGGCATATGTCATTGATGTGTTGTTTGTATTTGCTGGGGTGTATGTCATTGATGTGTTGTTTGTATTTGCTGGGGTGTATGTCATTGATGTGTTGTTTGTATTTGCTGGGGCATATGTCATTGATGTGCTGTTTGTATTTGCTGGGGCATATGTCACTGATGTGCTATTTGTATTTGCTGGGGTGTATGTCACTGATGTGTTGTTTGTATTTGCTGGGGTGTATGTCACTGATGTGTTGTTTGTATTTGCTGGGGTGTATGTCACTGATGTGTTGTTTGTATTTGCTGGGGCATTGATGTGTTGTTTGTATTTGCTGGGGTGTATGTCACTGATGTGTTGTTTGTATTTGCTGGGGCATATGTCACTGATGTGTTGTTTGTATTTGCTGGGGTGTATGTCACTGATGTGTTGTTTGTATTTGCTGGGGTGTATGTCACTGATGTGTTGTTTGTATTTGCTGGGGCATTGATGTGTTGTTTGTATTTGCTGGGGTGTATGTCACTGATGTGTTGTTTGTATTTGCTGGGGTGTATGTCATTGATGTGTTGTTTGTATTTGCTGGGGTGTATGTCACTGATGTATTGTTTGTATTTGCTGGGGTGTATGTCATTGATGTGTTGTTTGTATTTGCTGGGGTGTATGTCACTGATGTGTTGTTTGTATTTGCTGGGGTGTATGTCACTGATGTATTGTTTGTATTTGCTGGGGTGTATGTCATTGATGTGTTGTTTGTATTTGCTGGGGTGTATGTCACTGATGTATTGTTTGTATTTGCTGGGATGTATGTCACTGATGTGTTGTTTGTATTTGCTGGGGCGTATGTCACTGATGTGTTGTTTGTATTTGCTGGGGTGTATGTCATTGATGTGTTGTTTGTATTTGCTGGGGTGTATGTCACTGATGTGTTGTTTGTATTTGCTGGGGTGTATGTCACTGATGTGTTGTTTGTATTTGCTGGGGTGTATGTCACTGATGTATTGTTTGTATTTGCTGGGGCATATGTCACTGATGTGTTGTTTGTATTTGCTGGGGTGTATGTCACTGATGTGTTGTTTGTATTTGCTGGGGTGTATGTCACTGATGTGTTGTTTGTATTTGCTGGGGTGTATGTCACTGATGTGTTGTTTGTATTTGCTGGGGTGTATGTCACTGATGTGTTGTTTGTATTTGCTGGGGTGTATGTCACTGATGTATTGTTTGTATTTGCTGGGGCGTATGTCACTGATGTGTTGTTTGTATTTGCTGGGGTGTATGTCACTGATGTGTTGTTTGTATTTGCTGGGGTGTATGTCACTGATATGTTGTTTGTATTTGCTGGGGTGTATGTCACTGATGTGTTTGTATTTGCTATGGTGTATGTCACTGATATGTTGTTTGTATTTGCTGGGGTGTATGTCACTGATGTGTTGTTTGTATTTGCTGGGGTGTATGTCACTGATGTATTGTTTGTATTTGCTGGGGTGTATGTCACTGATGTGTTGTTTGTATTTGCTGGGGTGTATGTCACTGATGTATTGTTTGTATTTGCTGGGGCGTATGTCACTGATGTGTTGTTTGTATTTGCTGGGGTGTATGTCACTGATGTGTTGTTTGTATTTGCTGGGGCGTATGTCACTGATGTGTTGTTTGTATTTGCTGGGGTGTATGTCACTGATGTGTTGTTTGTATTTGCTGGGGTGTATGTCATTGATGTGTTGTTTGTATTTGCTGGGGTGTATGTCACTGATGTGTTGTTTGTATTTGCTGGGGTGTATGTCACTGATATCAAATGCTATGTTGCTGCAGTAATGATTTTTTCTCCAAGGATATTTTTTTTCTTTGCCTGTCATTACTAGATAAGTGTAATGATGTAATGAATGTCTGAGTGACTGGTTCACTCTGTGCTGTGTGTGATCTTGTCCCAGCATCATACCTGGCTCTGTTATCACCATTATCACTTGATCCTGTGTACAAGTCTCTGGCTTCTGTATCACTGTGCTGGAGGGGTGGGGACCTGTACATTCTTCACTGTGATCTCTTTAGCATCTTGTATTGGCAGCTTGCTGCTGTGATTTTTTTCACTTCCCAATTCAACTTATGATCTGTCATTTTTATCTAACTTATGTATTTCACATTTATTTGCCAAATTCTCCCCTTCTGAACTAAGCAGTTCTATGTGTTCTTGGTTTAAACTAGGGTGAATCAGGTTTTAAAATAGAATAGGAAATTCCAGAGAAGTTAATTTGAAATCTGTGTGTAAGGTGGGCCTATACTAGGCTATAAGGTGAAACTCTAAACAGTGCAATCAGTGCTAAAATTTAAACTTCCTGTTCAGGATTTAAATCAAAAGTGCTAGGCTTTTGTTCTTTATTTGTTATGAGCTAACCTTTGATTTGCTGGCATCCATTGTCTAGATATCAGTTTCTTTATGTGCCACTTTGTGTTTGACTATTGATTAGGTTGGTGGCTGGTGTTTGTCTAAGCTTGTGAGTGGACTACTGATAAGAAATGGATTTTAGCATCAGGATCTGTTTTCTTTCCATTTCCAGGTTACAGAGAACTTCCCAGTTGCCACACAGAGCAGACAGGAGTTAAAAACTTGTTGAAACACACTGTGATAGAAATTCATTCAACCTGAACTATGGCTGGCAGAGGTATGTCATCTCCCTGCTGTTTTTTTTATTTATTTTTATTTCAATAGTTTCTAAAGGCAAGTTTCTAAAGGTTAATATTATCAAACAGATTTTTTTCTCTTTGATGCTATTTTTATGGTTGTAAAACACTTGTCCATTTGATGCTGTTTTATGCTAGTAAAAACTTAGATTTACTAAATGAAGATATTGACTCTCCCACAGGATTAGTAAAAGCCAAGAAATACGATTGGAAAGATTCCAACCTTGCACTATTTGGCTCAGACTTGGAGAAAAATGTCAAAAGTAAGGCCACTAACTTTAGTATTCATCCATGCTACATTTATCACAATTAAAACAGGTTTTCATTAGCTTCTTTGCTTATGTTTAATAAAAATGGTTTTTCCAAAACTGCTTTTTCCACTTTAGTGAAAATGCAATAAAAATGTTATCTTTTTATCCTATTAAATATCATAAACCGTTATTTTATTACTGTCATACGTTTGTTCTCAACTTATTTGGTGAATATCTTACAATTTTTAATGATGGTTTTTAATTTTTGCCAATAGAGGCATCAGCATCCATGGAGGAGGCTTGGAAGGGTGCAGGATCAAAACCAGGGCTTCTTGTTTGGCGCATTGTGGTAATTAAACTGTTCCTCACCTTTTGTTTGTTTTTAATGGCATCGTTGGTGCAAGTGTAAATAGAAAAAACACCTTTGTTGTTTATTCATCTAACTATGTTTCTATTTCTTGTAGCAATTTAAAGTAACACCATGGCCTAAAGAAGATTATGGCAAGTTCTACTCAGGAGACTCCTACATTGTTTTAAATGTAAGTGGTTTCCATTTGTTTGATCTTTCTTTTATTCAGTGCTAACACACTATTTTCTAGCTTATTCTATACATAATGTACATTAGCATAGACATGCATGTATGCAGCTTCACAATTATCTATTAGGACTATAAAAGACTATCCATAAAAAAATGATGATGACTTGAGTTCTGATAGTCTGTTAAAAGTGTTATCAAAAGCCTGTTTATTAAAAGAAAGTTTTGATAAAATTCTGTCCTTAAAGAAAGTTTTGATAAAATTCTGTCCTTTAAGAAAGTTTTGATAAAATTCTGTCCTTAAAGAAAGTTTTGATAAAATTCTGTCCTTTAAGAAAGTTTTGATAAAATTCTGTCCTTAAAGAAAGTTTTGATAAAATTCTGTCCTTAAAGAAAGTTTTGATAAAATTCTGTCCTTAAAGAAAGTTTTGATAAAATTCTGTCCTTAAAGAAAGTTTTGATAAAATTCTGTCCATAAAGAAAGTTTTGATAAAATTCTGTCCTTTAAGAAAGTTTTGATAAAATTCTGTCCTTAAAGAAAGTTTTGATAAAATTCTGTCATTTAAGAAAGTTTTGATAAAATTCTGTCCTTAAAGAAAGTTTTGATAAAATTCTGTCCTTAAAGAAAGTTTTGATAAAATTCTGTCCTTAAAGAAAGTTTTGATAAAATTCTGTCCTTTAAGAAAGTTTTGATAAAATTCTGTCCTTTAAGAAAGTTTTGATAAAATTCTGTCCTTTAAGAAAGTTTTGATAAAATTCTGTCCTTAAAGAAAGTTTTGATGAAATTCTGTCCTTAAAGAAAGTTTTGATAAAATTCTGTCCTTAAAGAAAGTTTTGATAAAATTCTGTCCTTAAAGAAAGTTTTGATAAAATTCTGTCCTTTAAGAAAGTTTTGATAAAATTCTGTCCTTAAAGAAAGTTTTGATAAAATTCTGTCCTTAAAGAAAGTTTTGATAAAATTCTGTCCTTAAAGAAAGTTTTGATAAAATTCTGTCCTTTAAGAAAGTTTTGATAAAATTCTGTCCTTAAAGAAAGTTTTGATAAAATTCTGTCCTTTAAGAAAGTTTTGATAAAATTCTGTCCTTAAAGAAAGTTTTGATAAAATTCTGTCCTTTAAGAAAGTTTTGATAAAATTCTGTCCTTTAAGAAAGTTTTGATAAAATTCTGTCCTTAAAGAAAGTTTTGATAAAATTCTGTCCTTAAAGAAAGTTTTGATAAAATTCTGTCCTTTAAGAAAGTTTTGATAAAATTCTGTCCTTTAAGAAAGTTTTGATAAAATTCTGTCCTTAAAGTAAGTTTTGATAAAATTCTGTCCTTAAAGTAAGTTTTGATAAAATTCTGTCCTTAAAGTAAGTTTTGATAAAATTCTGTCCTTAAAGTAAGTTTTGATAAAATTCTGTCCTTAAAGTAAGTTTTGATAAAATTCTGTCCTTAAAGTAAGTTTTGATAAAATTCTGTCCTTAAAGTAAGTTTTGATAAAATTCTGTCCTTAAAGTAAGTTTTGATAAAATTCTGTCCTTAAAGTAAGTTTTGATAAAATTCTGTCCTTAAAGTAAGTTTTGATAAAATTCTGTCCTTAAAGTAAGTTTTGATAAAATTCTGTCCTTTAAGAAAGTTTTGATAAAATTCTGTCCTTAAAGTAAGTTTTGATAAAATTCTGTCCTTAAAGTAAGTTTTGATAAAATTCTGTCCTTTAAGAAAGTTTTGATAAAATTCTGTCCTTAAAGTAAGTTTTGATAAAATTCTGTCCTTAAAGTAAGTTTTGATAAAATTCTGTCCTTAAAGTAAGTTTTGATAAAATTCTGTCCTTAAAGAAAGTTTTGATAAAATTCTGTCCTTAAAGAAAGTTTTGATAAAATTCTGTCCTTAAAGTAAGTTTTGATAAAATTCTGTCCTTAAAGTAAGTTTTGATAAAATTCTGTCCTTAAAGAAAGTTTTGATAAAATTCTGTCCTTAAAGAAAGTTTTGATAAAATTCTGTCCTTAAAGAAAGTTTTGATAAAATTCTGTCCTTAAAGAAAGTTTTGATAAAATTCTGTCCTTAAAGAAAGTTTTGATAAAATTCTGTCCTTAAAGAAAGTTTTGATAAAATTCTGTCCATAAAGAAAGTTTTGATAAAATTCTGTCCTTTAAGAAAGTTTTGATAAAATTCTGTCCTTAAAGAAAGTTTTGATAAAATTCTGTCCTTTAAGAAAGTTTTGATAAAATTCTGTCCTTTAAGAAAGTTTTGATAAAATTCTGTCCTTTAAAAAAGTTTTGATAAAATTCTGTCCATAAAGAAAGTTTTGATAAAATTCTGTCCTTTAAGAAAGTTTTGATAAAATTCTGTCCTTTAAGAAAGTTTTGATAAAATTCTGTCCTTAAAGAAAGTTTTGATAAAATTCTGTCCTTAAAGAAAGTTTTGATAAAATTCTGTCCTTAAAGTAAGTTTTGATAAAATTCTGTCCTTAAAGAAAGTTTTGATAAAATTCTGTCCTTTAAGAAAGTTTTGATAAAATTCTGTCCATAAAGAAAGTTTTGATAAAATTCTGTCCTTAAAGTAAGTTTTGATAAAATTCTGTCCTTAAAGAAAGTTTTGATAAAATTCTGTCCTTAAAGAAAGTTTTGATAAAATTCTGTCCTTAAAGAAAGTTTTGATAAAATTCTGTCCTTAAAGAAAGTTTTGATAAAATTCTGTCCTTTAAGAAAGTTTTGATAAAATTCTGTCCTTAAAGAAAGTTTTGATAAAATTCTGTCCTTTAAGAAAGTTTTGATAAAATTCTGTCCTTAAAAAAGTTTTGATAAAATTCTGTCCTTAAAGAAAGTTTTGATAAAATTCTGTCCTTAAAAAAGTTTTGATAAAATTCTGTCCTTAAAGAAAGTTTTGATAAAATTCTGTCCTTAAAGAAAGTTTTGATAAAATTCTGTCCTTAAAGAAAGTTTTGATAAAATTCTGTCCTTAAAAAAGTTTTGATAAAATTCTGTCCTTAAAAAAGTTTTGATAAAATTCTGTCCTTAAAAAAGTTTTGATAAAATTCTGTCCTTAAAAAAGTTTTGATAAAATTCTGTCCTTAAAGAAAGTTTTGATAAAATTCTGTCCTTAAAGAAAGTTTTGATAAAATTCTGTCCTTAAAGAAAGTTTTGATAAAATTCTGTCCTTAAAGAAAGTTTTGATAAAATTCTGTCCTTAAAGAAAGTTTTGATAAAATTCTGTCCTTAAAGAAAGTTTTGATAAAATTCTGTCCTTAAAGAAAGTTTTGATAAAATTCTGTCCTTAAAGAAAGTTTTGATAAAATTCTGTCCTTAAAAAAGTTTTGATAAAATTCTGTCCTTAAAAAAGTTTTGATAAAATTCTGTCCTTAAAAAAGTTTTGATAAAATTCTGTCCTTAAAAAAGTTTTGATAAAATTCTGTCCTTAAAGAAAGTTTTGAACCTCCCCAGACCTACAAGGAGGAGGGTGGTGACCAACTGTTACATGATGTCCACTTTTGGATTGGTCAGGAAAGTACTCAGGTCAGATAGTTTTATCCCCTTTAGACCGTAACAATTTTACTTCAACAGGATCGAATAAATAAAATTAAAATTCAGTCTTTATATATTTATTGACCTTTTTTTTACTTAGACAAGATAGAGCCAGCTTAATTAATATTGCCACCATCTAATTGTTATGTGCTATTTTTGAACAAACAAAGAAGAGAGACAGAAACCTGAGCTAAAGAAATGTGTTTCTAACAGGATGAGTATGGTACAGCAGCTTACAAGACAGTAGAGCTGGACACTTTCCTCAATGATGTACCCATACAGCACAGGGAGGTCCAGGACCACGAGTCAGAGCTCTTCAAGTCTTACTTCAAGACAATCACGTTAGTACTTGTGACAATCACGTTAGTACTTGTGACAATCACGTTAGTACTTGCCACAATCACATCAGTACTTGTGACAATCACATTAATGCGTGTAATAATCACATTAGTACTTGTGACAATCACGTCAGTACTTGTGACAATCACATCAGCACTGTCTATATGTGACAATCACATTAGTACTTGTGACAATCACATTAGTACTTGTGACAATCACGTTAGTACTTGCCACAATCACATTAGTACTTGCCACAATCACATCAGTACTTGTGACAATCACATTAGTACTTGCCACAATCACATCAGTACTTGTGACAATCACATTAATGCGTGTAATAATCACATTAGTACTTGTGACAATCACGTCAGTACTTGTGACAATCACATCAGCACTGTCTATATGTGACAATCACATTAGTACTTGTGACAATCACGTTAGTACTTGTGACAATCACAGTAGTACTGTCAATATGTGACAATCATGTTAGTACTTGTGACAATCACGTCAGTACTTGTGACAATCACATCAGCACTGTCTATATGTGACAATCACATTAGTACTTGTGACAATCACATTAGTACTTGTGACAATCACATTAGTACTGTCTATATGTGACAATAACATTAGTACTTGTGACAATCACGTCAGTACTTGTGACAACCACATCAGCACTGTCTATATGTGACACTCATGTTGAAACTGTATTTTGGGTAATATGAACCATCAGGTGCGCCAACACAATGATTTGATAAAAACTATATTCAAAATGTTATTGTGAAAAGTTACATTCATTAGCCTGAGCTGCAGATTTAGAACTTTACTGAAGTTACATCAATATGATCAGCTGCCTAAAGGGGAACAACTCCATATATTTGTTAACTAGTATAGTAGCTAGTCGCTTGACCTACTTTTGTTTACCGTCATCATTATAATGATGGCTGCCAAAAACAACGATATCATGATTCAATTTTTTAACAATGTTTCATGGTCATGTCAGAAATATATACTTATAATCGTTATTTTTGCGTATTATACGAAGATACCAATATAGTTTTAACAATGGACAATTAGTGTTTGATGCTAATTTGCCATTTGTACATTTTTTTGGTCCAATCGCTGAGAATATCGAGCAGAACATAATAAAAGTAAGCAAAACGTGAATTGTTTTATTTAATATTGTGGTACGCATAAACAAAAATACTCTGAACTATAGGAAATTACATATCTCGTCTTACTAAACTAATTTCTTTAGTTTAAAAGAATCATGCATGGTAAAAACAAAACATACAAAAAATAAGTTGATCGAGACAACAGCTAACTAAGCCCACCCTTTTTGCCCGCTCTATATTTGAATGGGAAGAAATCTAGCAGACGACACATTTCTGCTGAACGGCAGTGAACGGTTGATCTCGTCACAACAACACTCATTAAAAACTAATCCACAGTATCACTGAGTATCAGTCATAACATCGCAGCCATTTGAAAACAAACGCGTTTTTCACAAATCATTTTCCAGGCTATCCATTAAATTTGAAAAATAAAATTGGTATCAAACTAAAGGTAAATAAATGTAGTTTTTAATTGTTTAAGTCATCTTGAACAATAATTAAAATCTTCTGCAACACCCTAGTACATAGACATGTTGTTTGAACATGTTGGTAATACTGACTGGCACTTACAGTGGTTTGGTTATTAACACTGGGTGGGGTTAGTCTAGTCTACAGTATGGTAGTTTTATATGGAGCCTGTAATAGCTGAATCAATGCAGGACTATGAACTTACTGCATTAATCTCTATCTTACTGCAGGATTATGAACTTACTGCATTAATCTCTATCTTGCTGCAGGATTATGAACTTACTGCATTAATCTCTATTTTACTGCAGGATTATGAAGGGTGGAGCACAGACAGGATTCCGCCATGTGGAACCAGAAAAGTACAAACCTCGCTTGTTCCATTTCTGTGGCCAGAGGAGGAATGTTGTTGTTTCTGAGGTGATCTAGTTTACATACTTGATTAGCTTGTTGAGCATTGTTGCCTGAAGAATTTCACTTCTCCATAAAACTTGAGCATCACATGTTAGAGCTAGATCAAGTCTTGTTAACTCCTAGAATAAAGCTTTCCCCTACATTCCTAAAGTAAGGGACACACATTAAAACAATGTCTTTTAAATAGTCTTAATTTTATTCTCTTTCTTTTAAAAAGATATACCAATACAATTTTATAAAAAGTTTTAAAGGCTTAAGACTATTTGCAATTGAGCAAGAATATTCTGCCGTAGGTTCCCCTGAGTAAAGATCGCATCAAGTCTGACGATGTGTTTATCCTGGACCTGGGTACGATCATCTACCAGTGGAATGGCTCTGGTAGCAACAAGGATGAGAGGTTTAAGGTCAGCTTTTATTTTCTCTCCTGATTATGTTGACATAAGTGTCAGTTGTAGATTACAGTGTAAGATTTGTTTGCCATACCCTCTGACTCTCTGTTGTGCCATCCCCAGGCTGGTCAGTTCTGTCAACAGCTGGAGTCTGAGCGGTCAGGCCGGGCCAAGGCTCACGTCCTGGAGGAGAACACTACTGACCCTTCTGTAGGTTGTCTCTTCCACAATTTATTTCTACACTAAAATATTACACTAATATTATTATTACATAAAATAATCTATACTAATAGTTTCGCTGTCTGTCTATCTATCTATCTTTCTATCTGTGTATCTATCTATGTATCTGACAAGAACGCTATAGAGAAAACACAAGCAAAATAAAAACTTTCATAGTAAAATGGAAACGAAAATACGACGTCATATTGGGCTACATGATATTACCCCCCTGGATATTTCCCCCCTGGACATTCCCCCCCCCGTATTTACCCCCCGGAGCAATTACCCCCCTGTCAATTACCCCCCCATCGGGGAATTACCCCTTCCCCCCCCCCCTCTCAAGTTAAAATCCTAACTCTAACTAGAATTTTATCCCTATATACTACTTTAATCCAAACCTTAAGAAAAAGACCAAAACATAAGTATCAACCTTAGCCTAAAACTTCACACAAAACCAAAGCTAGACACAACCCTAACCCTAAAACTAGCTCTAACCCTAACCCTAGCTCTAACCCTAGCCCTAACCCTAATCTTAACCCTAACCCTAGCCCTAACCCTAACTCTAAGCTTAACCCTAGCCCTAAAACCTAACTCTAACCCTGTCCGGGGGGGGGGGGGGGGGGGGTAATGTCCTACTGGGCGGGGGGTAATTACTCTGGGGGGTAATGTCGGAGGGGAAATATCCGGGGGGTAATTGACAGGGGGGAAATGCCCTGTTCCCATCATATTGAGCATATAGTATAAAAAAAGTCTACAGCCGGAGAGTGCACAAAATAATATGACGTCATTGATTCTCGAGTAAACATTGAATTAAAAGGCCAATTTTGTCTAATCTAAATGGTTTGCGTGAAGAGTTTCATTCATACAATTCTTCGGGTAGGGGCGAAGCCCCACCCTCGCGAAAGAACGTCTAAGGCCCCCCCCCCCCCCCCAACTCAAAAGAAATTTCTTCATCAATACTCTATAATAAAATTATCGCCTAATTAATGTGTCTAATCTAAAAAGTGGTTTGCTTGCAGTTTCTTTCATGCAATTCTTCGGGTAGTGGCTAAGCGCGACACCAATGTTTCTTTCAGACTATTTCCTCCCCGGAGGGGGGAACTTTTTCTAATCTAAAAAGTGTTTAGCGTGCACAGTTTTTTTCATGCATCTCTTCCGGTAGAGGTGAAGCCCCGCCCAGGTTCTTCCTTTAGTTTGTATGATCTACAAATGTGACCAGTGTTTCTTTCAGACTTTTTCCTCCCCGGTGAGGGGTGGGGGTACTTGAATTTTTTGGGAGGGGGCAGACACTGGAAAAAGTATATATTTATATTTTGTTGAATGGGATGGTAGACATGTTTTGGGGTGTGTTTTGGCGGAGCCCCCTCTTCCCAAGTCGAGTTGCCTGAAAGAAACTCTAAATGCGACTTTTGTCATGAATGAGATTAGGTGCATGGTTTAGGGATATGCCTATGACTATATTTTGTATAAATTAAAGTACCGATTCTGGATAAAAATCCGTTTTCAATGTCATTTTTTGTTTCCGGTTAAATTGAATTAAGGTGGTGATTTTAGTTTTGGTTTTAGTTTAGAGAAAATAGACAGCACTATCAACCTAGCGCCCATTGTATCCTTCCTCAACGGGCCATTTTTCTCGTATAATAATATTAATATTATTATACACTAAATTGTGTGTTTTAGGTCTGTTCTGGTCATGTCTTTCTCTCTTTGTTCCCAGCATATTTTCTTCCAATCCCTGAATGAAGACGATGATGATGATGACAAGTTTGAAGCTAAAGATAAGCAGCCTGAACTGTTCAGGTAAGTTTCCTTATTATGTCTGGTCACACAGGTGAGTTATCCTCTATCACCAGGTAAGTTTCCTTACTTAACTTGCATTGATGTTAGACTATCTGGTCAGACACACTTTATTTTAATCTTGACAGGAATGTTGTAATTTTATTATAGTAGCCAGTTAGAGAAATGTTTTAGCCTTGTATATTGGTTGCTGCAAATGCTGTGCTGGTAAACTCTGTGTGGAGGAATAACCTAACATGTATACCCATTGTTTTGTAGGCTGTCTGATGCTAGTGGCAAGATGACTTTTAAAACAGAGAAGAAAGGATCCATCTCTAAATCTGACTTGGATTCTAAAGTCAGTTCCATTGTTTTTGTTTTTAAATGTTTTAATTTATTTTTATTTTTAGTGTAAAACAATATTTTTAAATGCACTAAAAAGAATAATATAATAGCTAAAATAGTATAAGTATTTATAAAGTGGATAACCTTTAACCATTGTAGCTAGACATTCTTCTGAAGCAAAGGTAATTGTAAGCGCAAGTTCACTAATGTGAATTAAATAAAAAGCAGGAGTGACCTCCCCTAACCTTTCTGGTATACTCTAACAGTAAGGTTTGGGATGGCACTTCTAATGGAATCAGGTAGAAGTAGGAGTAAAGTATCACTTCCAGTTACTGGAAATCACACGAAGTTGAGAGAGACCTGCGTGTATGATTTAAAACTCAGATTTTCAGAAAACAGAAATAATTAAGTAATTAAATAATTAAGTACCACTTAAGGTTGTGGGAAATCACTCAAAAGTTGATAGAAATTTACATAAAGGGTTGAACACCAATACTCAGGTTATTGTTATTGTTTGTTATTGTGTTAGTTAACGTGTTTACACACCACAGATAGACAAGATCAGAAAACCTTGGTTGTTTTTGCTGATGATTCTGATGTTTTGCACAATATGAAACCTTTTATGTTAGTTACCAAAAGGTCAGTGATGTAATGCACAATATGAAACCTTTTATGTTAGTTACCAAAAGGTCAGTGATGAGGAACTGTTTTGTTGTAGGATGTGTTTATCTTGGACACCAAATCCTCCTTGTTTGTCTGGGTGGGCAGTGACACGTCTGCTGGAGAAAAGAAAAATGCCATGCAGTATGCTCACGTAAGTTTTCTGTTTGTGTTGAGTGCAGTATGCTCACGTAAGTTTTCTGTTTGTGTTGAGTTTATTTTAGAATTTAAAACAAAATAAATCTAAATAGTAGATTTTTTTATCCTTATAATTTGTATACCCCTATTAATTCTATTATATCTTCATTGTTGGGTTCTTCTCTCAGGGTCATAACATTAATCATTATGGCATTTAAACTTGTACTGCTTTTAGCTATAATTTTTCAACTTGTGGATATATTTTAAAATAATGAACAAATGAATATCAGTGTTTTAAAACATGCTGTAGTGTAAGTGCCTGGACAGTAAAGGGATAACTGCTAGTGTCTCCTCATGTTGTATGCTACAAGTGTCCCACATTGTAACAACATCTCTTGTTGTATGCAGGAGTACCTCCTAATGTTGTATGTCCCACATTGTAACACCATCTCTTGTTGTATGCAGAAGTACCTCCTAATGTTGTATGCCCCACATTGTAATAACAGGAGTACCTCCTAATGTTGTATGTCCCACATTGTAACAACATCTCTTGTTGTATGCAGAAGTACCTCCTAATGTTGTATGTCCCACTTTGTAACAACATCTCTTGTGGTACCTCCTAATGTTGTATGTCCCACATTGTAACAACATCTCTTGTTGTATGCAGAAGTACCTCCTAATGTTGTATGTCCCACATTGTAACACCATCTCTTGTTGTATGCAGAAGTACCTCCTAATGTTGTATGTCCCACATTGTAACAACAGGAGTACCTCCTAATGTTGTATGTCCCACATTGTAACACCATCTCTTGTTGTATGCAGAAGTACCTCCTAATGTTGTATGCCCCACATTGTAATAACAGGAGTACCTCCTAATGTTGTATGTCCCACATTGTAACACCATCTCTTGTTGTATGCAGAAGTACCTCCTAATGTTGTATGTCCCACATTGTAACAACAGGAGTACCTCCTAATGTTGTATGTCCCACATTGTAATAACAGGAGTACCTCATAATGTTGTATGTCCCACATTGTAACACCATCTCTTGTTGTATGCAGAAGTACCTCCTAATGTTGTATGTCCCACATTGTAACAACATCTCTTGTGGTACCTCCTAATGTTGCATGTCCCACATTGTAACACCATCTCTTGTTGTATGCAGCAGTACCTCCTAATGTTGTATGTCCCACATTGTAACAACATCTCTTGTTGTATGCAGGAGTACCTCCTAATGTTGTATGTCCCACATTGTAACAACATCTCTTGTTGTATACAGGAGTACCTCCAGAAGACAGACCACCCACTTGTTTCTGTCACATGTCTCAAAGAGGGCCAAGAGTCCAAAGACTTCAGGACTGCTATTGCTGCCTAAACCAACTGTCTGCAGATTTTTTAACATTTTACTACTACACTTTTTAACTACTCTTTCTATGGGTTTTTATTTTATATGAAATTTTAATTTTAAATTTGATAGCTAGTAGGCCTATATATTTATTGTAAACTAAATGGAAGAAAGATTTTATGCTGTGCCTTATAAGCTCTTCTTTTTAAACCACAAAATATATTTACAACAGTAAATGGTGCAATTCTATTCCGATGTTGCCTTCATTAAAATATGTTTCTTATTTTTTCTTTGAGCTGGATATGTTTTGGTCTCACTGGGTGCTTATATTGGTTTTCTCATGCTGCTACTGGTAATTACACTTACCCTTGTGCTTGTACTTCTCCTTGTTCAAAAATATTTTCTTGTATTCAAGTAAATGTCCTAGTTTATGGTGGTTAATTTTAAATGTCCATCGATGCTGTATAGACTCACCACATGTGGCAGCGGTAGACTCACCACATACAGTCATAGACCCACCACACTGCCCAATTTAAATTTATGGTATTATTGTTGACACCGTCTGTTTTTATTGCTCAATAGAATTAGTATGACCTCACCAAAAAAATGGTTGCATCGTATTAGTCAGGTGAAGTTATTTGTATACAACAAAGAAGCTCACACAAATTTGTAACCACCACAAGCCACTATTGTTTTTATGACCACCATTCCCAGATTGGTGTTTCCTTAGAAAGTCATATATTTACTGTGACCTCTATAGCAGCCAATTTTTTCCATCTCACCACTGTAATGTTTCAGCTGTCCTAGCCACAATTAGATTTTGCTATTTGTAGGTGCTATTTTATTATCTCAATTTCTCAACTCTCAACTTCCCTATCCTCACCATGTTTTATCACCTACATGAAAAGTTATTGGTTATTGTCTATGTTTAGGTTTTTCTTTGTGTTTAAATTTTGTAACAAAAATTATGTATCGTTTGCTATTTTCAAAATGCCTTTTTAAAACTGTTTCAGGAAATACATTATAAAATTACAATGAATTAATGTATGAGTATGACTAGCTATAGAATTGTTTTTAAAAGTTTAGATTGTGATATAGATTTATTTCCCCTTTTTAACCCAAATATTTGATTCTATCTGTAGATGGGCTGATTAGTCTTTTGTATTTTTGTTTTTGTTTCTTAGAATTATGTGATTAGATCTCTTGCATGTGATAGCTATACAGTTTAATTTCTACTTGCACTTGATAGCTCTACTTTTATACTTTTTAGTCGTAGCTTATAGCTGAAGTTGTTGTAACAGTAGCATGTTTATATTTTGTTACTGCCATTCTTTAGAACTATTTTATTACCATTTATTTAAATATATATAGTTAGACTACCCTGGTACACAAGCTTTGAATTTCTTGACTAGTTTGTGGTCTGGGTGGGACGGTTGGATGGTAGAGCTTACTTGGAAGTCTGGAGTTCAGATCCTGGGCTGAGTAGGTAGGATATCCTTGAGTCCACCCAGCTCTGATAGGTACCTGACTTATGTTAGGAAAAGTAAAAGGTGGCTGGGCATAGTGCTGACCAGACTATCCCTTCATAGATTGAGCTCCCAGAAACAGGTAAACAGTTTGATTAGATAGAGCTGCCAGGTTTGAAAAGTTGACAGAATCCTTGCCTTAAAGCTAGATGTCAAAGTCTCATCTGCCTGCCCCACTGCTACTAGTGACCACTTATTCTCTCCATAACACACAATCTAAGATCAAATCTTTCTGGCAGTTTTACACTAACTGTTGACTGGATGGTCATTCCTACAAGCTCCAATACTCCCAACAGTTTTTCTGTCTACTTGATGTGTGCTGGGCACCTGAGTGTAGCAGGAATCACCAGCTGTACAGCACACCTACCCTAAGGTTGGTCTACTTGATGTGTGCTGGGCACCTGAGTGTAGCAGGAATCACCAGCTGTACAACACACCTACCCTAAGGTTGGTCTACTTGATGTGTACTGGACACCTGAGTGTAGCAGGAATCACCAGCACACCTACCCTAAGGTTGGTCTACTTGATGTGTGCTGGGCACCTGAGTGTAGCAGGAATCACCAGCTGTACAGCACACCTACCCTAAGGTTGGTCTACTTGATGTGTGCTGGGCACCTGAGTGTAGCAGGAATCACCAGCTGTACAGCACACCTACCCTAAGGTTGGTCTACTTGATGTGTGCTGGGCACCTGAGTGTAGCAGGAATCACCAGCACACCTAACCTAAGGCTGGCGTCTTATCTGACTACTTCCTTTAGGAACTTTGTTTACTTGAGCTAGACTGCTTTCAGTGGCCTGGTATAGGAGAAGATAGTAAAGTATTGAGTTGTGTTTGTTTTAGCTCTGTTGTTTTGTTGGGCACTTGTTCCATGGGTCTCAGGGTAGATGAAGCAGAGCTCACCTGTTTCTACCACAAGCACACGATTAACTTTCCCATTGTTGAGTACCCTTAGAGCTGGATAAGTCCACAAGCTCCCAAATGTGTGGAGAAAGTCATTTATTTTATCCTAATCTTCAGTCATATACTCTACCACATAAGGGAGGGGCCGGGTTAGCTGATTTCTGCAGTAGCTGTGTTCTTTTAAAGCACACATGAACTGACAGAACAGCCCAAAAACGGATGGTGGATAAGATTTATTTATAAACCCACAACAGCTTGTGAATGTCATTTGAAAAACTCTAGCTCGCTAGTCAAAGGGACGTAACCTAATTCAGTGCGAATCTGGTTTGGCGGGTTCTGTGTCCCAGTGTAAAACAAACAAAAAATGTTGAAAATATTACATGATAAACTAGCTCGCAGTTTTATAGACATGCACCTCTTACAGGGTTATAAAACGCTTGGGAAATATTTTCTCTTATCTAACGTTACTAAGGCGTACAGAGGCAGCCATGATGTGTTTACAGATGGAAAAAATATGATGAACGGGTTGGTTTTTATATAAATGGCGCTACAGTTCTGTTCAATTATTTTATCACAAGCTAAGCAAACATTGAACACAGCCGTGGTATTTTTAAATTGTTATCTCACGAAGTTCAGGGGGCTAAATAAAGGGAAATAACTTTTTGTTTGAATGGAAAAGGGTTATAGGCCCATGCGGGAAATTAGAGAGCTGTATAAATTTTAAAGGTTTAAAATCACTCCCCCCCCCCCCACACACACGCATTATAATTAGAAAAGAAGGCTTTGTTTTTATTTTGAAAGACCAATTTTTTCCTTAAATAGTTGTCAGTTTCTTTCACTATTTAGTATATCGATCAAATTCCACTACAATTACTAATATTAGCTTTTTAAAAAGGAAACCGTGAAATAGCAGCTAGTCGGTTTAGTTCATCACCTGAACATGCGAAATTTTCTCGTGACACTTTTTGAGCCCCCTAGTCACACATAAAAGTCCGACCCCTTGGAGTGTCATATCGTTCATGGACGACCCCTAAACAGAATTCTAGTGTATATATTATTAAACACACACACACACATATATATATATATATATATATATATATATATATATATATATATATATATATGCCAATGTATGTATGGAGTGAACTGGTTAAGCTGCGTACCGCGCCCACCTCGCCGCCTGTGACAAGATTACCGGCAAGCGCACGAGGCAATCGTCTGCTCGTGGTTCAAACAAATCGCTGACAAGTGTCGCCTCTTGCCGTCTTTGGGTGCTGGTAGGTTTCACCTGAGCTCATTTGTGGGGAGGTACCTGTACATTTATACACACGGATACAATCTTCGCGGTCTTAAGGTAAGTCGTCTTCGTTCAGCTGTCTAATGAACTGACCCTTGGGGTGGTGGTGGGGGGGGGGGGGGGGGAAGGGGGTGCTCACGGTCATTTCATTAGTCAGACCTCACTCGGCTGGACTTGAGTTAATCTGTAGTGTTTGATGTGTTTAGTTAATTAAACCCACGAGGTTGGATGTGTTTAATTAATTAAATGCACGAGCGAGCCGTGTACTACCGGCTGTAGTGGACAGTGTAAGACCTGGGTGACTGAAGCGTTGACATGAAGTGTACGGCCGTGCTGTGATTAAGATGGATAGCCCGTGGAGCTAGAAATGTAGGGTTGCCGGGGGTTGGTGTAGTGGAAGTTTGGAGCATGAGTGTCCATCAACCTTCTAGAAGGTCAGTGAAATATTTTCAGAAGTCGCCCCCCCCCCCCTTACACACACGTCATCACTAATCCCGTGAGACGTGTTTTGCCGTGTTTATCTATAACACGGTGTCTGGACGGACCCCGGCACGTACGGCCGTCCATGGTCCAATATTGACCAGCGTATGGATCACGTCGTTCTCATCTCCTTACTGCTGGGACACACACACACACACACATAGACACACACAGACACAGACACACACAGACAGACACAGACACACACAGACAGACACATACATACACACACACAGACACACACACACATACAGACACACACACAGACACACAGACAGACACACACACAGACACAGACAGACACACACAGACAGACACACACAGACACATACGCACAGACACACACACATACACACACACAGACACACACACAGACACATACACACACACAGACACACACACACATATACACTCAGACTAATACACACATACAGACACACACACACGCAGTCGACTTTTAGAGACAAACTGCTAATGGCCAGAATAGCTGTAACGTCCACAGCTGTGACGTCACATCTGTAGCTTATACAGTTCTGACGTCACATTTCTGACATGTATGACATCAGCCAGA